GCGTAACGCGATTTGGTCGAGTCGCTTTTTATTGTTGAATATCCATAACTTATATTTACTGTATAGTTGTAGGTTGAGTGTCGTAAGCTCGTGTTGAGTTCTATTTTTTTTGTTTGATTTTATTTTGTGTCGGCTTTTTTTGTTTTTTTGATGGTGGAAAATTATCCAACGACTTCTCCCGCTCGGGTGAAGCGAGAGGAAGTGTCAAACTTTTACTAACTAAAAACCACCCCGTTCCTACTCCTGCTCTTTGAGCTGGAGCCCCGGCAGCCCGTTAATCCCTCCGCGGCTCCGTATTGGCATCAGTCCTATTGGGCCCCATCTGTGGTGGTCTGATGGCTCCTTTCTTTCGAGGTATTGTGTCGGATTACTAAACGTAAACCATTTCCCTTGATAATTTTCTATAAGTACGAACATTAAAGGAGTATGATGGGGTCCAAAATGGAATAGACAGTAATGTTATGTGGAGCCCCGGAATCGAACAATGGTGCCTTCACAAATAATTGCGTAATCACTCCATTTAGGCTATTTTGTTACTATCAATTCACTGTCAATTCGAGCATTCGAAATGAGTTCGAACTCGCCCGTCATTGGTCGAGATTATTCTCATAACTAATGACATGGTAGACTTCGATCGAGTTCACTTCGATCTTTCGTATTGAAACTTACGAAATAGCGTAGCTGCTACGAAACATTCAGTCTCCACTTTTTTTATGTTTGTCCCACGAGGCCATGTTATAACTTAGTTTTTTTTCTTTGTAGATGATGAAATTCGTATTGGACAACCATCTATACCTACCGTGGCAGACGATACCGCTGCGCGCAGCAAATTCCACAAAGGTATCTTACTTGATGATAATCAATACATATTATAAAACAAAGTCGCTTTCGCTGTATGTCCGTATGTATGCTTAGATCTTTAAAACTACGCAACGGATTTTGATGCGGTTTTTTTTAATAGATAGAGTGATTCTTAAGGAAGGTTTGTATGTACATATTGCACCCGTACGAAGCCGGGGCGGGTCGCTAGTACAAGATAAACAATAAAATAATTTCTCTTATAATCCATGTTTAAAAACCGACTTCAACTTATTTTTTTGAAGTCCGTTACTGAATATATTAAAATATTCTCCTGGGAAGAACAAACACTTTTCTGAAAAGCGCACACTCATACATATGTCCACATCTTATCATCGCTACATATCTTATAATTGAAAAGTCAGCACCTTCTCATCAAGTATATTACAAACTTAATCAATGAGACATAAAAAATATATC